GCGTGTGCGTGTGCGTGTGCGTGTGCGTGTGCGTGTGCGTGTGCGTGTGCGTGTGCGTGTGCGTGTGCGTGTGCGTGTGCGTGTGCGTGTGCGTGTGCGTGTGCGGTGTGCGTGTGCGTGTGCGTGTGCGTGTGCGTGTGCGTGTGCGTGTGCGTGTGCGTGTGCGTTTGCGTGTGCGTGTGCGTGTGCGTGTGCGTGTGCGTGTGCGTGTGCGTGTGCGTGTGCGTGTGCGTGTGCTGCGTGTGCGTGTGTGTGTGTGTGTGTGTGTGTGTGTGTGTGTGTGTGTGTGTGTGTGTGTGTGTGTGTGTGTGTGTGTGTGTGCGTGTGCGTGTGCGTGTGTGTGTGTGTGTGTGTGTGCGTGTGTGTGTTTGCGTGTGTGTTTGTTTGCGTGCGTGTTTGCTGGCGTGTGTGTTTGGTGTGTGTGTATTTGTGTGTGCGTGTGTTTGTGTGTTTGGGTGTGTGTTTGTGTGTGTGTTGGCGTGTGTGTTTGCGTGTGTGTGTGTGTGTGTTGCGTGTGTTTTGCGTGTGTGTTTGAGTGTGTTTGTGTGTTTGCGTGTGTTTGCGTGTGTTTGAGTGTGTTTGCGTGTTTGCGTGTGTTTGCGTGTTTGCGTGTTTGCGTGTGTGCGTGTGTGCGTGTTTGTGTGCTTGTGTGTTTTTGTGTGTTTTTGCGTGTGTGTGTGTGTGTGCGTGTGTGTGTGTGTGTGTGTGTGTGCGTGTGTGTGCGTGCGTGTGTGTGTGTGTGTGTGTGTGTGTGTGTGTGTGTGTGTGTGTGTGTGTGTGTGTGTGTGTGTGTGTGTGTGTGTGTTTTTGTGTTTGTGTGTTTGTCGTGCTTGTGTGTGTGTGTGTGTGTGTGTTTGTGCGTTTGTGTGTTTGTGTGTGTGGTCGTTTTCGAGGCCCAGTGCCGGTTTAATCTTGCACGGAGCCCAAAGAAAACCGACAACGGGGTCCAACTTCCTATGACAGTCGTTTTCACGGTGGATATTGATGCAAAAGATACCACCAGGCGATTTGCCTCCAAACTGGTAAATTGGTTCGTGGTTTTGGGGAAACAACTGTTTCTTGGTTGGTGATCATGTTGAAAGGTATTGACGTACGGGTAATGTTCAAGGACAGTCCAGCCCATTAAGTTATTTCTGCTGGGGAACTCTCACTGTGTTTTCGAAGATTCTCAAAGAAGAGTTTGACCAAATGTTCCGACCACCTTTCACGTGTTATGAGCCACCAGGATCTGAGCAGGCTTTCAAGTTGTTGCGTTTACTCCTTTCCTGGTTTTCTTGCGTGTCGTAGCTTACGCAGTCGAGGAGTTCTAGAGTCCCCCGAACAAGGCGGGGGAAGAGAGCCAACTGACTAGGAAGCGCAAGGTAAATGGTGACTCGCTAGATCAAATAGGACTGGCCACATCTCTTGTTGAAATTTCCTGCACTGCCCCCCCTTGGTTCCTGGTTGATAAACAGAGATCAATTTTGGGCGACAAACCAAACACCCCATTCTTGTTCCATCATGGTTTAAGTTGAAGGCCTCCCTCCCATGCCCCTTGCGGAAACAAAAAATCTCAACCGAGCGTCCTGGGCATTTGTGGGGCCTTTGACGACAGTTTGCCCCAATTAAGGCAGAATTTGGTTGTCTCTAGCGAAGAACCATGAGTAGATATTCTATTACTTCATGCTAAAAAGGCTCATTCCCAAGTTGCTTCTGGCAGTGGAAACCAAGCTCATGCGAGTGCCTGACAATATTGGTAGTCTAGTTGGCTTGGGGAGCACCCTTGTGCTTTTCTCCTATACCCAACATAGGGAGCCAGAAAAAGGAAAAGACTTACCCTCGTATGAATGAACATGGAACCTGACGTTCGGGGTCTTTTCAAAACGAATTATGGTCCAAACCGGGGCCCCCCCAAGATTGGTGCAACAACATACGAACCCGCGCTTTGGATCTCATTCCAGAAAAGGGCGCCCTGCCCAAGCGCTAGGCCTACGAGGCCAGGCTGCCAATCCCTATGATGAAATACCCGGATGAATACACCCGTCCTACTAATTGTTGCTTTCCGTTTGCTTCCCTTTAGCACCGCGCAGAATGGATACTCGCACCCATTTTGGTATCTCGTTGGTTAACCAACCTCCCACGTCGAGTCAGTCGCTTTCAGGAAGGAGGAGGCGCGAGAAAGTGGCGAGGTCCCGAGTTCTGCGGAGTTCCGGTACCTGGACAAGGTCCTGCAACGCCGCCCGGCAAAACATTAGAGGAGGGGCATTTTTGTTTTTACGTTTTTTCGTTTTCTTTTAAAAAGGATTTTTTGTTTTTCAGGGTGGGTGGCTTTTCGGCTTTTTGGCTTTTGTGGCTTTTGTGGCTTTTACGTGGGTTTTTGTGGCTTTTCATTTCGCATCCTCTGCATTCACAGTTCCTCTCTTTTCGCATCCTCTGCATTGCCAGCTCCGCTGCGGCAGGTGGCTTTTTGGCTTTTGTGGCTTTTGGCGGCTTTCTGGCTTTGGCTTTTTCGCATCCTCTGCTTTCCCAGTTGGTTTTTGTTCTTGGCTTCCTGCATCCTCAGCATCGCAAGTTCCTCTCTGGTGCCCCCCGCCCCTTTCGATAAAATACACGCCTAATTGCGTTTTCGATCATCATGCGACAGCTACTTTTTAGATTATTTGCCCCTAATTTTTCGATCCACTTTTTCAATCATCATGGGGGGCTGTCCGCAACCCCCCTGCTTTTTTTTAGACTTTTTGCCCGTAATTGAATCATCACGTTTTCAATCATCATGGGGCTGCCGCCCGCCCCCCCCCCCCAAGCCCCCCGCTATTTTTTAGACTTTTTGATCCTAATTGAATCATCACTTTTTTGATCATCACGCGGGGGGCTGCCGCCGCCCCCGACCCCCCCGCGCCTTTAATTGAATCATCACTTTTTCAATCATCAGCGGGGGGCTGCCGCCCCCGCCAACCCCTACGCTTTAGGTGTTTTACAGGGACTAGTTTGCCCGCATTTGAATCCTCACTTTTACCATGAGGCCCGCAGAGGAACTGATGATGCTGAAGATGCGGCTGGACATGCGGGGGATGTTGAAAACGATGCTGATGATGTTGACAGACTAGCACAAAATAAGCACATTTCGCGAGAACATGCCGTAAATTGCAGCATTTTGGTAGCCAAGGCGGAAAACAAAAAAAATCCCAAAATAAAACAAACAAATCCCAAAATAAATCTCGACCCAACAATAGAAACCGAGGTGCCAACCGCAAGCGGGCATGAGGTACAGAACACAAGAGGCAAGTGTATTTGCTATATATGTATATATGTGTGTGTACGCTTATATCTACATACATACAAACAGGTGTACATGTATATATATATATATAAAAGTGTGGTCACCCCCCTGATCCACACCTCGAGTGGGACATGCTATAAAACACTATACAACCAGACCCGGTCTGACCCGATTCTGACCAGAGTTTGGTTGGACCTGAGATGAAGCAGACTGCGTTTCATATGGCATGTGATGAAGGATGAGGCTTGTTGGTTGCTAGATCGAGCAGACGAAGCTCGTTAAAGCGCTTTCAGATGAAGCAGATGGACTTTCAAATTCCATGCGACAAACAAATAGGCACCTCTCAGCATTTCGTGCTTCCATGACATGTGTGAAAATGTTGAGAGGTTTCTTGTTTTCAGCTTTCAAAGGCCCAAAGGTCCTAAAAACATCAAAAAACAAACTAGTCTCCAGTCCTTCCTCACCTTGTCAAGAATGTGTGAGGCTAGGATTTCAACAGCCCTTTAAGCACTTTGGGGCTTTCAATGCTGAAAACCAACCTCTCAGAACTTCGGGCGCGTGGAAGCACAAAATGCTGAAACCAAGGACCTCTCAGTATCTTTGGCTCACGTGGAAGCAAACATGCTGAGGTCCCTTGCTTTCTGCGCAGGCGCAGGCAGAAGCAGAGGCAGATGCACACGCCCCCGCCCACGTTCACAGGCACGCGCACGCGCAAGCACAGGCACACACACGCACATGCGCATGCCTGTTGATTTCTTGTGTGCGCAGCTGTTGTGGGAAGGAGCACCCTTTAAACAGCAAAATGTGGAAACACGGAACTCAGAGGAAACCTTCCAAGTGGTTCGTCCAATCCTTTGAATGTCGAAACCTGCTTATAAATCCACAACAAGAAGCCCTTTGCTTCTTTTTCCACACGAATCCAGTGAGCAAATCGGACGGGAGGCTCGGCAATCGAGTCTGCAACTTGAGGCTACCGCTTCAAGCAGCTGAAAGCACTGGCGCTGTCCCGGTTGGGCCGTGCCTTTCCCCCGGACCTCTGAGCTTGCGTCCCGAGACGCGCCCAATGGACGAGTTTGTGAGAGCTACCGTGGATGGAATCCGTGCGCACCACTTTGAAGTCATGAGAACCCACTGTTTGTTGGTATTTACAGGGGAATCATCCTTCCAGGGTCTCTGAGGTGGTGCAGGATTTCGTCCATCCACAGTAGTGTGTCAGAAAGAACCTGCTAGTACCGGATATCCCTCAAACATTCCTTCAATGTTGTGTAGGATAGCAATGCCAAAGCCCCGGATTAAGAACCTTCTGGTTGATGAATAGGGGGGTGTCCCCTTTGAGGGCGGAACCTGGGATCTCACTTTTGTGGCTGCATGGTTGCTTCAGAGATTCCTTTGGCGACGGACTCCCCACGATCATCAAACATCGTCGGACAACCCGTGGCATTTGTCATGTGCATCCCCACACATTGCCACAACTTCCAAACTGAAGGGAAGAAAAACACCCAGGTAAGACACGATTATTGTGGATGGACATGAATCTGCACCGCTTGGTAGGCGTGTTGCGACATTCATGTCTAATTCATACCAACTAGCGCGAAACAGCGCCCCCCAGGCAATCGGAAGGGGCCGGACCGAAGGGGCGCGTATCGGTCTGTCTCAGGTTTGCTCAGTTTTATCTGGGTTCTTTTTGGCATTCCATGGTTTCGAGGGATCCAATTTCTGGTGTGATCCGTTTTCCTCGGGCGTGACTTGCAGCGCTGCCACATGCCCAAGCGCGGCTGCCACATGGTGCCGACTTCCGCGCTGGTTGACTGACTGTCCTGATCCAACCTGGCCATGCGACAAGACGCGGAACCACCGGTCCATAGTTGTTGTTGGGAAACATTTTACATTTTTCTTGTGGTGGTTTAGTGGGAAATCCCCACTGAACTGCTGAAATTTACAATTTTGCTCCCCTTCCAACGTCAACCAAGGGTCGGTCCTAAGGGGCGACGCAGCATGTGAAGGGTCGCATACCGAGCAAGATGGTGCTTTGAACACTTGGGAAATCTCCCCGCAAAGGAAGCTACGGGAGCACACCTATGTCGCGTTGCGGCCTCAAACATAGATAAGGTGTAGAGTGTGGACAAGTGTCAACCCCTTTTGGAGCTCGAAAGCCGAAGGTTCCGCCTTTTCAGAAACAACTGGCGGCGCCTTTGGCCTCTGAAGGTGAGTAGCAAGCATGCGAGTAGCGAGGGATTTCAGCTTACCGCGATTTCACGTACGCCGCATCTGCCATGTGCTTTGCGGGTCATGACAAAAGCAATGCAGACCCCCCGCCCTTTTGCCCCCGATTTGCTGGGCCTTTTAGACGCCGTTTGTGAGGACAAGTCCAGTCAGGACCCAAACCAAAGTGTGGGAGAGTTGTCTGAACTTGGTCCAACAAAAGCCACAGGGCTGGAATTCCTGCTTATCGCCTAAAGAGTCTGCTTGGAACCTTACGAAATCAGGCAAGGAAAGTCTGTTCTACACGACCTTGATACAATTTGACACAAGTGGTGGCTCAAAAATCGGGTCCCAAAATAACACACTGGTAAATGGGAAAGAAAACAAAAAACCTTCGGTCCCTGGCTCTTAAGTTTGAGCCACACCCAAATGTCCTACTTCAATATCCCCGAAACAAAATGCATATGTCAAAGGGTTGGGTTACAGCGAATTCTTCGGGAAAGCAACGCTTACTTGGTGTTTTGGGGCCAGTTCCTGTAGATTTTCCTCCAAGCCCTTTGAATATGCCCTTGAGGAAATTCGGTATGGACCTATGGCCGTCAACTTTGCTTTGCGTATGCCAATTTTTGGGTCCCCCCGCGGTTTTGTCGGCGGTGGCCTGGCAATTGTTGGGCATTCATGTGTGTGCCAGGTCCCCCAGCAATTGGTGCCCCTTTTACCAGCCTTTTTTTTGGGGTTGGGAGGGTTCGGGACCCTAAAATAGACCACATAAAAAGTTGGTACCCTTATTCTAAACTCTCTACTGGAGGACCTATGTGTGTGTGTGTGTGTTGTCAAAAGACCTTCCTTGGGAGTACCGGGGATGGTCATGAACCCTTGAGAACGGACTCTAGCGGATTTTTGACCCCACATCTATGTGCAAAGCCGGTGCTGGCCCCCATTGATTCGCTGACTGGGCATACCTAACAAGGTATATGGACAGAGGGGACATTCACTTTGGTGCATTTTGCTTGGATGTTAGGACTTTAACTTTTTGCCAACTAGTGGGTTTCCATTAAACCACTAAAAGTTCAACTTTTAGCAGGGGAGCATAAAGCAACCGAGTTCATATTCATTACCTGAGAACTGTGAACTGCGTTCAGACAGCAATTCGCTTTTGCGGATTGGCAGATGTGTTCGACTTCCGGAGCTGCTGCTGGAGCGGTTTGTTTGTCCCGGCGAGGTCGTTTCCTGGTCTAGGTCCCCCAGCTAGTTGCCCTTTTACCCTTTCTTTGGGGGGCCTTTTACCCATTTTTTTTGAGTTGTCCGGGAGGACCTACTAAAATAGACCGCAGCAAAAAGTTGGTACCGACCTATTCTAGCGCCTCAAATCTGGAGGGCCTGGTCTTAGTCACTCGAGCGCCGTGGAAACAAAACCCTGCCGGGGGCATTTCCGGCCGCCCGTCTCTTCAGCCCGGAAGTGGAACTCAGGCATTGGACCAAGTGCCTTGGTCAGGTGAGCTGTGAACCACCCTTCAGAACCATAGGTGTCCTTTGTGGTTGGTTTGCTTAGAAAAATAGAGGGCGATTCCTGGTTTACCTGGTGGTTGAATTGTCTACCAGGGCCATCAATTTTTCAAAGAAGGACACCTATGTTCAGAAACTGAATCTACTTCGGTGGTTTCCTGCAGACGGGTTCCGAAAATCGGGAGACGCGGAACACAAAGACCGCCGTGAAGGTAGGAGCTCGCTCGGAACCCGTTTGCTGGAGCCCTGTGCAACGGGTTGTTCCCGTTTCGTCTCTTCTGCTTTTTGTTGGCTTTGGCTGAGATGTCAGACTCTGCGCAAAGGAATGAGTTGGGCGTTTAGCAATATGGTCAAAACCTGTGCCTTGGGGAAGATAAAGCTGACGTATCCTGAATCTTGAGGCTCCGGGTTTTGGGGCCCTTAGCCCTGACCCCTGACCCCTAAGCCCTGAAGCTTTCTGGAGTCGAAGCTTTCTGGAGTCGATCGGAGACTCCGACGGCCAAGGAGTTTAAAGCCTTAAGTCAGGTTCACACATGTTAGATCTAGGGTTTTCGCGCAACCTTCTTTCGGCGGATTCTTTTCAATAAGAACCAGGGTCTGGTTGTTTAGCATGTTGCCAACCCTGGTTCCAAGCGTGATTTCAGTTTGAGCTGCTTGGCGGCTGTTTCGCTACTCAAAGCAACAAGAACCTTTGGACAATACCTGTTTCAGAGAGGACCCTAAACAGGTTCTAGTTGTTGGTTTGAGCGAGGCCAACCGTAGACCATCAGATACCCCTGGAAAACCTTCAGAAAGTGACAACTTCACCCGCAGCAATTAAACAATTAAAAGGTTTGCCGGGGTCAAAGACAAATCTAAGTGCATGTCCAACCTCTTTCGATCTGCTTCTTTTTTGAGAAGGTAGGCTTTTCGGGCGGGCGACATCGCTTCTCGACAAATGCGTGAGTCTGACGGTCGGAGGCCAACCTCCTTCCGATATGTCAGAGCCTACCTACCTACCTACCTGACATACATCCATTCGTGCATGCCGGATATTGGCAACTTGCAGAAGGAGACTGAATCTTCTGGTTGCCATCGCAGCACAGTGAATCGCATGCCAACTGAGACTCGCCAATTGGGCGTTAACGTCCAGGCCCGCTGGTTATGCCATCAGGGAACACAAGACGGGACAGGAGGACCTTTTACCCTTTGCACCCAATAGATCCGAAAGAGCCAAGGGTGTCCCGTCCTGCGCAAGCTACCGATTCCCACTGACCTCAGGATCCCCAATTTTGTTTAGGTATGTCAAGCCCTGACTACACAAGCTGCTATTTACCATGGAACCGCTAGAAAACGGGTAATTTATTTGGCTCACTTGCAGACATTTATCCTGCTTCATATGAATGACAGACATGATTTTCAGTCGTCTACTGTGGGGTTTGGGGAGGAGATGGGGACACATGGTCTGCCCCACACAATCCCGAGATGTTTGTCAAATTCCCCAAGATTCAAAGAGAAGGAACCCAAGTCTGGGGCAATTTCTATATTTGAAAGGGATCTGAAAAGGGGCCCCGACTTGGCCGTGAAAGGAAATATGCCCCTATTGATGGACACAATGGTGAGTTGGGCCCCACCAACCAGTTTTTGGTTGGCACCACCCCGCACGGTTGGTAAAAGCGTGGCAGCCAGGGTTTGTTGCATGGGGTTAGATATTATTGTTTAACCAGTCGCCATGAACCGATTTTTCAACAGGTTGGAGGATGTTTGCCTTTGGTGGCTCAAACCGAGTTTTTAACCTTTGGTGGTCTACTCTGTGGTGGCTTAGTGGTTGAACGCTTGAACCATGAATATTTCAGCTTTGGTTAAAGGTCAGGAAGCTTATTTCCGGCTTCCAAACCGAAGCCGATACTCAGTGAATTGTGAGTGAGTGCCCAAAAATGGTCGCAACACGCCGCTTCAAGTAATTCCGTAGGTGAAGAACCTTGAACTTGTGTTTTTTAAGCTTGCGGTCCAATCTGCAATTTGGATTGGCCTTTTTGGTGTACTTTTCTTGAAGGTTGGGGAACAACCCCGCGGAACCACACCTCTCCAGGAACCCCAAAGAGTCGCTGTTCTTGCCCTTTTGAGTTTGTTGCTTCTGCTCATCGGGGTCGCAAGCCCAGGTGCCACCGAACCTCTGGGCCAAAAAAGACATGAAGTCTTTGGCTCACATGTCACATGCCAAGGATTGGACCGAGGGGAAGCTGTTGCTTCTTTTTGTTGGACGGGGTTGACACGCCTTTGGTTTAACAGACCTAGCCGCAAGCCGCCGCCCGGAGCTTCCGGGGTGACCCTTTCAAACACTGCCAGCCAATCCCTTGGCCAGGTCTCAGGACAGGCCGAAGGCTGCGAAAAAAACTCAAAGTGGAACGACCATGAAGTAAGCCCACGCTTTGTTTTTC